CGTGTACAATCCTTGTTTATCTCAGTTAATCCTTACTGCACAACCATGGTCCTATGACCGCTCTTTGTTCTTCATCCAGAGTAGCTAGCTTACTGTCCAAAGCCCAAGTATTGGAGAACCAGACTTGACCCTTCCTATGTTGACCAAGATTGCAATTCTTAGGTGCTTTCTGATCTGACTCGTATCTGACCTTTGCCAGGTAAGTCTCCTTTGAACACTGCAATATTTTTAGCTTGCCAAATAGCATACATAATGATACCCCGGGCAACTTGCCCGACATATCCCCATCCAGACGAAAAGTTTGTTACAGTCGGGATGATTCCGGTTTCAATCCAAGAGTCCGTCCATTGAAAAGTTTGAGGAAAAGGCTGTCCAATGTTTTCGCCACCATTGCCATATTCTCAAGGAGAAGGGACATTGAATCCAGATGTGTGAAGTCGTCTCCCAGGCCCATTGACACCTACTGCAGGCTCGGGGGACTTCCATTTGTTTTGCTAATAACCATTCTGCAGATGGGATCACGTCGAACGATTGAAGCCAGAGAAGGCTAACTATCCTTTGTTCCGGGACCTTCTTGAGTTGTTTCCATAGACACGTTAATCTCTCCTCGGTCATGGACTGTGGATGTCTATCCGCCCATCTTGTGATTGCCGAGCTGGTTGGCTTCTTTTGAGCAAGATCCCTTTGTATTGCTGCTCCTATTTTGGGTTTGTATTGTGCTAAAGGCTGGAATCTCTCTTTCCTGCCTTGCAGGTTCCAGCCTTGGAGGAATGGTTCTACAACATAAGTATCTGCTTCTCTGCCCATTTTGCACTGTTCATTACCCTTTGAATCAAATCGGGCCCAGACTCTGATTTCCACAACTTCTTCCCATTCTGGCCCTTCAACTATCCTAGTTTCTTCCCCAAATTTCAGCGGTTGGTCTTTGGAACCGTCTCCTGCGTAGGACCATCTTTGGGCTTTAAGGCCCATGTGTAGGTCCGGCGGGATCATCCTCCAAACACAGTTCGTGTCTCCGTTTTTCTTGAGCCAGGTATTACATACGTGAATGGGGGCTTTTTGTAACGAGCTTTTCCATGTTGCTGGTAGGGCAGTCAAAAGTTTATTAAGGTTACTGGTAATGTTGTGCAACCTTGGTAGTTTTGTTCGCAGATTCTCTGACGTAATCCAGTCTTCCTTCTCCGGATCCCATAACTTGGATAATTCCTTTGGTTATCCATGTCCTACCGAAACTGCCTTTGGACTCGTTGGCTGGAAATGGGATTCATCATGGAGGATGCTTGGATTCTCAAACAGTGGTTGCAAAAGGATTTCTGATTTGGTGGTCGGGGGTTCACGAGTTGTTGGGCGAATCCTGCTCCATGCGGCCAACATATTTCTCCACAGTCTGCTTTTGGGTCTTTTCCTGGCAAAAGAGGGGATGTCTATGCATCTCCATATATCTCTTGGTTCAGCTAAGTCCCATTCTGTGCTCAGGATATACTCAGCAAATCTCTTCCATAGATAGCTCTGATCATCTAGCATTGCCTTGGCCGGCCATTTAGCTAATAAAGCTTTGTTTTGTACTGCCAGGTCTAGGATCCCTAGACCCCCTTGGTCCCTTTTTGCTGAGAGGATTTCCCAGGCTACTTTTGGTAGAAAGCCTGATCCTGCTCGGCTTTTGGTTTCCATAGGTATTTTGCTGCTGACTTCCTTATGGCTTTGTATGCGACCTCTCCCAGCATGTGAATGACACACGGGAAAGACAGGATGGAGAATGCTGCAGATGATAGGACAAGTGCTCTTCCAAATAGTGAGAGCGAATATGATTTTTCCCAGTTTGTGATGCGTGAGATTACTTTGGTTGAGAGGAGAAGGTCTTGGGTAGCAGATGCATCCGAGAGTGAAACTTGGAACCCGAGGAGGCGTTCGGAGCTTTGGACAGGCACTTGCTGCATACCCCAGTCTGCCTCTAGATGGAACAGTTCTGGAAGTAAAAATGTGGATTTGTTCCAGTTAATTGAGGCTTCTGAGAGGTGGCAATAGTTCTCCATTACTTTGTGAAGTTCGTCTAGGGATTCTTTTGTGTTCGTGCAGCAAACTGTGAGATCGTCCGCAATGGCACTGCATTTCAATTGTAAGGTTGGGGTGACCTTGAGACCCACGATGGTCTCATTATGTCGAATGTTGTCAAGAAACACTTCTAGCTGAATTACAAACAATAGGGGGGCGAGTGGGCATCCTTGTCTTACGGAACGCGTCAGCGAGAAACTCGGTGAAAGTTTTCCATTTACGTTGACTACCGCTGTAGCTTTGGAGTACATTGTTTGTACCCATTTGCAGAAGGATGTTCCAAAGTTCATGTGTTTGAGAGTCGTGGCCACAAAAGCCCACCCTACTTTGTCGTAGGCTTTTTCTAGGTCCAATAGGATAACTGCTACTTCTCTCTTTTTGGTGCTGATAATTTCTAGTGCTTGCATAGTAGTCAGAATATTTTCGAAAATGGAGCGTCCTCTCACGAATGCCCCTTGTTCGCTGCTGATTTACTGTGGTAAGTGTCTGGCCAGTCTCAAGGCTAGAGATTTTGCCAGAATTTTGTACGCGACGTTTAGAAGGGAGATCGGACGGCAGTTACGAACGTCCCTCTTGTCTCCCTTCTTGTATAACAAAGTGATAATACCTTTCACCCATCCTGTGGGTAGGTCTTTCCCTTCTAGAAGTCCATTGTATATTTGTAGGAGGAAAGGGCCCATTACGTCCCAGGTAGCTATGAACATCTCCACCGGAAGACCATCTGGGCCCGGGCATTTCCCGAGTGCCATTTGTCCTGCTGCAAATCTGAGTTCGACTAGAGTGAGGGGCCTGTCCAGATCTAGCCTAGAATGTGAGTGGAGGCTTATCTTTGAGCGATTCAAGAATTCTGAATTTATTGACAGATTTGTTTCGAAGTTGTCGTTTGGTCTTCTTGAGGTAAGGATATCTTTGAAGTAGTCCGCCACGTGTGAACACATGTCCACCGTGGTTGTGGCAGTTGGGATTTGGGAGCTGAATGGGTGTGTCAATTCGCGCATTACTGGCCTGGTATTTCTTGAGAGGAGCGACTTGAAGGTCACTATGGTCATTCTATCAAACCCCATAAATCCCCTGATTTTCAACCATTCAAGCCATTGCTCTTGGCGTTGAATCGCTAGGTTTTCTAATTCTTGTAGTAGTTTTCTTCGTTCCTTGGACGAGTAAAAATCTGCGTACGGATCTTTACCAAGGTTTGCTTCAGCTTGTTGAATTTTACTTTTGATTTCATTTTCTTTAATAATTCGATTACCTGCTTTTATTTGTGAGAAAACGTTTAGGGCGTCTTGTACCATGTTGAGTCCTGTATCCGCCCATTGTTCTTCGTTATCAAAGAGATCCTTCGAGTCCTGCCATCTATTCATGTGTTTCTTGATCCACTCAATAATCCCTGGGGCCTTCAGGTGCGTGACGTTCAGTCTGAAGCAGCCTTTCTGTCTGTCTATGTCGGGGTTGACAATGAACTCGGCTAGTAGCGGGTAATGATCCGAGATATCCGTCACATGGGCTTCCGTGCTTATGCTTCTTTCACAGAATGATCCTCTGGCCAAAAAGAAGTCCAACCTTCTTCTTGGACCTATCCTGGATGTTGATGTCCGAGGGCCGAACCATGTGAAACCCGGGTTATATGGTTCATAGTCCGATAGATATCTGTGAAGTCCAGCGTTGTCATAAATTCTAGCAGTGTGTTAGTGTCCCTTCTGGTGGCGGTCACATCTGGAGAATCAAGACCAGGTAGCAAGATCGTATTCCAATCTGCTGCTATCAGCAGATTTTCTGTGTCTGGTATGTAGGCTGGYAGATTCTCAAAGAATGTGGTGCGCTCTMGGTATATCACTGGGGCATACACTGACATGACCGMCCAATCTTCTTGACCTGCTGTAAACTTAACCCATACAAATCGACCTTGCGGGTCCGCAAAATTATCTATTATGTCGACGTCCAGATTCTCATGGAACAGTATTCCCGTTCCGCCTTTGGTACCCTCTGCCGGAGCCCAGAACTGAGGGCCCTTTGAGGGTGTGCGATTTTATTTTGATCCAGTTTGGACTCTTGAACACAAAGGATATGTGCTTTTTGTGAGCGGCACCAATTAGCAATTCTGCTGTTATGGTGTTTTTTGGAGCGACCCGGAATTCGTTCGGTGTGCTCAGGGACTTTTAAACACAGACGCGTGTTCGAATCCCAGCGCATCAGATAATAACTGGTGGTAGTTTGTTTGAATTTGTCGAAGTGTGCGCACATGGCAAAAAGACCAAATTGGAAAGATACAGAGAAGATTAGACCAAATACGGTAGGGTAGAAGTACCGACTGGCCGAACTCAGCTGGTTGGTACACCCCGAAACTGTTGAAATACGGAGCTGTGGAGCTCTGTGAGGGCATACTCACACTAGGACTTTTTGACGTGTTTGTGGATGGAATTTCGGGCAGATACATCTAGGTGTGGACGTGAATGCTGTCAGATACATTTGAGATACTTCTAGTGCGAGTACACCCGGAGTCCGAACTCCACTGGAGGGACTAATGCAGTTGGTACACCCCGGGGCAAGGTCCCACTTGCACGGATTACGAGAATCTGGCCGTTGATCTTTGCTATCTACGGTCAATATCGCTTAATTCGTGTAAGTGGGACCTAGCTCCCGGAACTGTTCGAAATACGGACCTGAGTTCGAACTCCGCTAGATTAGCGGGGGATTTAGTTTATGCTTCGTGTATTTCTCAACGTGGTCACACCGTGGCCGTGGAATTTTCTGATCGGATGGCAGGGAGCCCTGAATACTTGACAAGTGGGACATGGCTCCCGGTCAGCTCGATGGTGATGTGATAACTGAACGGCAAAAAATTTGAAAAAAATCAAAAAGAGAACCATATATGAAAATGGACGTGGGCCGAAGGTAGTCTGGACGTCTCTCCGTGAAGGCGACGGTAACGGAACGGAATGTAACGTAACGTAACGGGACGGGACGGAAGGGAGAGTGATGGCGCCGATGACGCTTCCCGCTGTGCGCGCGACGAGTCGCGTCCTCTCCGCTGTAGCTGTCGCCGGCAGCAAAGCGGGAATCCGCGCGGCAGGAACTGCGACGTGGCGGAAAGCTCCAGCGCGAGGAGGAGGCGCACTATCCCCCGTTGCTACGTCGTCGTTGTCGTCCCTGAGCAGCAGCAAGAGCCGCGAGAACGAGCTGCCACGTGGTGGGCCATGGCCGATCGGCGATGGCAGGGGGGCGGGGGTTGCGCGAGCGCACATGGTCGCGTCTTTTCGTCGCTCCCCAGGTGGCAACGGTAGAAAAATCCGCGGGTCATGTGGCTCGCCACGTGGCGATGGCGGAAGGACACTCCGCGGCGCTTCTTTTGGCTCGCCACGTGGCGATGGCGGGAGGACAGTCTGCCGCGCTTCTTCTGGATCGCCGCGCGGCGATGGTGGGAGGACACTAGGCCGCGCTTCTTGTCGCTCCCCGCGTGGCGAGCGCGGGTGCCGTAGCAGCAGCAATGGGAGGCGCAGCAGCCGGAGGTGGATGACACGTGGGCAGGCGATCGACGACCTGCTCTTGCCACGTGTCGAGCGCAGGGAGATCGGTACGGCTAACCCACGACCAGCTAGAGCGAGAAGCCCCTCGACGTCCTCGGTGGGGTTTTCTACCCCCCTTGATTACCAATCCAGAATCATGTCAAAATCGGCCGCGCCGGCCATGGCTCGAATCCATAGCAGCAGTCTCGCGGAGAAGCAGCAGCCCCAGCAGCGGATGAACGGTCGCGATCCGGACAGCGGGCAATCAACGGCAGCTGTGCAACGCCGTGGTGAGAAGGGGATCGGCGCGACCACTGGCCTGGACGAGGTGCGGGTTGCTGATGACGTGGCAGCTCAACCGATGACGTCAACGAAGCCGTCGCTCGACACGTGGCAGGTCAAGATGTTGTATGACGGTGAGTGCCGCCTGTGCATGCGAGAGGTTAACATGTTGCAGGAGCGTGATGAGCAGTTTGGGAGGATAGAGTTCGTAGATATATCTCGAGATGACTACAAGGCTGAAGATCATGGAGGGGTGGATTTCGAGACGGCTATGGGTCGCATCCATGTGGTCCTTCGGGACGGGACCGTTGTGAAGGATGTCGAAGCATTTCGAAGGCTTTATGATGCTGTGGGGCTCGGATGGGTCTATGCTCTAAGTCGGTATGAACCGTTCGCTAGTCTGTTGGACGTGGCGTATGGAATCTGGGCCAGGTTCAGATTGCCAATCACAGGTCGCCCACCGCTTGAGCACTTGGTTCAGGAGCGGAGACGAAGGTTGCGGCGGATGAAGGGATCGGGATCGGGGGAAGGAGATGGTGGGGGGTGTGATGTGGATGGAGGACGATGCAGAGAGGATTGATTGATTGATTGAATGATTCATTGATTGATTGAATGATTCATTGATTGATTGAATGATCGGAAAAAGGAGCCAACCAATTACGGATGGCCATTGATTTGCTTTCTTCTGCTGCGTCCTCCTTTCTTTTTTTTTTTTTTTGTGTGTGTTTGTAGTCCGATGGATTATGGATCGGATATTAGACTGATTAGAACAGATGCACTGCACTTGAGCTTATTCTGGGCCCAAGCAACACAGGTGTGCACTCCAAACAGATACTACTCTTGTTCTTAATTATTCAAAGCACGATTTTTTTTCCCTTTTTTTTTTGCGGGGGGGGTCGCAATCACAGGTTTTCACTTCAAACTTCGTATTGGAGTATTTATTATCTTTGAAACCTGAGTATCTTTGATTTCCCGCCAGATCGTCTGGGGTGCGCAAAAGGATGATGATATTGAAGTTGCATCCCCCCAAAAAAAAAAAAAGAAAGGATGCAGAGGATGTCAGGCTGCTGACAAACGCTGAGGATGGATCGGCTCCAGTCCTTTCTTTTCTTTTTCTGCTCTCACGATCCTGACAAAAGCTAGAGGATGAACGGCGGGGGGATGAACGGCTGCAATTTTCTTTTTTTTGGTTGTTCCTTGCAGCAGGGTCCTGACAAGAGCCTGGATGGAACGGCTGCAGTGTTTTTTTTTTTTTGGTTATGTTTAATTTTCAGGCAGCCTTTGGAAGTTGGTTGGTGGGTACTGCTAATAGCATAATCCTCCTTACGCTAGGACATTCTTGGGTTGTATCTGATAGCGATTACGTCCGTAGTTCAGTCGGAAACCCGGTGCGAGTACTCTGTACGCATACTATTCGTGACAATTGTTAATCAACGCCGGTTTTGAAGGCCAAGGGAGGGACACAGGCTCTTGGCTCTTGGTAATCAAAAGCCAATCAACGCTGGTGGCAAATGCCAAACCAATTAATACTGATATGTCATTGAGGCTCTTGATGTAAACATAGTTAAGAGGAGCCGTGCAACTGTGGTGGGAAATGCCAGAACTCTTTTCTGCCCCGCTCTTCACTCTCATCATTAGAGGACAGGCTGAGTACACCATAGCTTAGCTATGGTGTTCTTTATGGCGTTAGTTATGGCGTGAGCTACGGTGTTAGCTACGGCGAGTTGACGACCGAACTCACTTCTGTCTCACACTTCACTCTGATGATTGAGAGGATATACACCATAGCCTCTTCTTCGTGCTTCATGTATTGTCTTCTTCTTCTTCTTCTTCTTCTTCTTCTGTTTTTTTGAATGGGGCGCACTTTGTATGGCCCGGAGGACACTTTTTTTTTTTTTTTTTTTTTTGTGTCAGTGCAATACAGAGACAACGCTGGAAGGAGCGAGGAAGCATGCTTACCCATGTGACCCCTTTATAGAGGCAACGCTGGAAGGACCGAGGAAGCAAGCTTACGCATGTGACCCCTTCGTACCCCCGAAAAATTAATTTAATTTTTAAAATCATTGTGGTCCGATGGGCCACGGAGCAGATATTAAACTGATCAGATAACAGATGCTAACACTTGCTCTTAGCCACGTAATTGTCTTCTAAGAGTGATGCTTTTGAATTACCCCTTCCCCCTCCCCCTCTCCCTCCCACCCACCCCCCCTCTCCCCTCTCAAAATCCGCTGTCGAGATTCACAATAGTATGTGATCGAGGTTACATCTCCCTGCTTAAGAGTCTGTGACACTTTTGTGACACTTTGACGGCTGATGCACTGTCGTCACCTCACACTGCCTACTCAAAAGCAATGGAGTATTTTCTGTTGAGTTTTCCTGTTTTACAATTGCTATATCATTTTTCAATCATTTTCAATAATCAGAGTCCATTGTTTGACTGTTGTAGTAGGAAGTCTGTTTACTTTTCTATCTATGTGGTATTCGTTCTTGATTGACTCTTGGATTGAGATGTATAGATGTTAGATTCTCGAAAAATTAGTTTCTTCTTTTGTACCACATTGCCTGCTTTTCATTACCTTTTGGTAAGAGTGTGTGTTAGTGTTGTATGTAGTAGGAGGGAGAGACGGTCGAACTCCGCTGCTCTAGAGGTGGTTTTGCAGGTTTGGGTGGTATATAAGCATCCAATCCGCCCAATCGCATCTGTGGAAACTGGAAATCTCAAATCTCAAGTCGCTGGCGCGAAGAGCATATCAAGTGCTTGTCTCCAGCGCGCTTAACTGCGTCGGTACAACCCAGAAGAATATTCCGAAATATATTGCCATCCGCCAAAAAAAAAAGAAAACAGAAGAAGAGAGTGGTTAAGGTTGGCAGCGGAATGAAGTGCACAATTGACCTGCCTTCACTGTCGATATGTGCAAAACGAGAGTGAATCTTACGCTAGAACATGGAAGGATACAATGCCATATTTTGTCTTTTGTGCATGTGGAGAGTAGTTGAGTGAGGACCAATGTCGAGAGAAATGGAGACGAGTGCAAGACACTTGTCATGTTTGCAGACGATAGTAGTAGTATCTATGAGAGTTTTTTTTTTTTGTTTGTTTGTTAAATTAAAGGGAAGGAAGGATGAAAGGTAGAAAATATACTGCAAACGGAAGCAATAGAGAACAAAAAAGGTGTTGCCAGCTGCCAATGGAGGAGGAAGAGACTGATTGATTGATTGATGATGTCGAAATATTGATTGATTGATTGATTGATTGATTGATAGATTGATTGATAGATTGATTGATAGATTGATTGATAGATTGATTGATTGATGATGTTGATTGATCCATTGATTGATTGGTGACGGTTTTGATTGATTGATGATAATGATGATGATGATGATTATGTTGATTGATTGATTGATTGATTGATTGATTGACTGATTGATTGATTGATGATGATGATGAGGAGGAGAGGAGAAGGACGAAAAGGAAGGGGAGGGGATGACAGAAAGAAAAGAACTGCTGCATGCGTGAGGCCACTGTCAAATTAGCATTTTTCTACATGTATCTGAGAGCAATTATTTCTAGACCTGGATGCGTCTAAGCGTAATCAGGTCCATCAGGTCCAGAGCACAGCTGAAAAAGTCCTAGTGTGAATATGCCCCGAGTGTTTTGAATTGTGCTCTGCAAGGGAAGGTCAGGTGAAGCTTGAGCTTGATGTCTGCTCAGGAGTTTGTGTTCCAGTTTTGGCGATGAAGGGCTAACCAAGTTCAGACGTTGATCCCAAATCAGGGACTTCAGAATATAAAAAAAGGGACTGGGAAAGAAAAAAAAAACACTAATTTTGGGTGATCTGAGGTCAGAGACTTCAGAATAAAAAAAGAGGGACTGGGAAAAAAAAAACACACTAATTTTGGGTGATCTGAGGTACAGCTGGTGGAGGAAACAATTCTTAGGAGCGTTTTTTGCAAGCAGGCTTATGATGACAGCAGGTCGGTGAAAGTCCAACGAAGAAAAAGTCTGGCGCAGTAATGGTCTCTTGTCTTTCTGAAATTCTGTACAGGGAACATTACAACACAACCAAGCCCATCAGCAAAAGGTGCAATCAGACTCGTTTTCAAACACACTTTTCATACATGTAAACAGCAACGCAGCATACTGGCGATGCGCCCAGTCAAAACTCAGAGATATGGCTTTCAGACACGAGTTCACTCTCAATTGGCTATGGCGACTTCAGCGCCCAAACATCTCACTGTTCACATGTACTGGATCACCCTGGATATCCCACACGCATCACTCTCACGCTCGAACACACACACACACTCACTACTAACTACAGCTATGGCAGCTGTCGCTGCATCTACCCTATCACTATGCTAACTCCCTCTCTCTAGCCCACTGCGTCCTCCGGGCTCATCTGCAGACCTCCTTGCACAAGTCGCTGTGGCAGCGCTTCCGCATGGCTCACGCAGGAATGAATAAATGGCTGGGCGTTGCCTCTTGATTTATACTTCAGAAATTCGTTGATCTGCCCTTTGCCATCGGCCCTTGGTGCTCACAGTCCCCCTGTGGTACTTGCTGGACTGGACTGGGA